GGCAAATGAAGAGGCGGTGAAACACAAAAAGGCAAAAACGAAGAAAGAACTCCCGGGAGCTGGCAACGGACGCGAAGAACAAATCTATACAACTTGTCAGCGAGTAGGAATGTAAAAATGATATTTTTGCTCACACAAACGCTGCTAAAGTAGCTGGTGATTCTGTAACAACGTTTTTGCCAGTTTTGAGAATGTTTTTGACAATGAGCTTTTAACTGAAGTTCGTGAATTATTCCATAAGTGAACCGCCACATAAGCAAACGATCGTCAGAAGGAACGAATATTCTCTTAAATGAACTTTTTTTATTCATAACCATTACTTGCGATTTTGAGGGGTTTAGTTTAAGATTGTGATGCTTTGCAAATCTGTCAATTCTTTGGAGATCTGAATCTGCATATTGTTTTATCCTTGCGAATTTTACCGATTTGACCATGTCAGATATGTAGATTGAAAATAGCAAAGGAGATAAAATTGAACCTTGAGGAACTCCTCTTTTCATAGGTTTAAAATCGGTTTTGTAAATAGCGGAATCATTTGCTAACATAACACAGTTTGAACGGTTGCTTAAGTATGTTTTTATTAGATTTACGGAGTTCTGCCAAATACCCCTGGTAATGTAACTTAGCTAGTAACATTTCATGATTCAGAGTGTCGAACGCTTTACTAAAATCGAGAAGACCCTTGCACGCACAATTTTTTTGTTCTTGATGATGTCTGATATCATCCAAGATATTAACTAATGATGTACTAGTGCTAAAGTTTTTCCTAAAACCGGATTGACTATCAGGTATGATATCGTTTGTGTCACAAAAAAATCTAATTTGATTATAAATGTTCCTTTCTAAAATTTTGGATGTAGCGGGTAATATGCTAATATTATAATATATAATATCTGTAAATTCTTTAGGTTCTGCTATTCTTGATAAGGGTTTAACAACAGCCTTCTTCCATATTTCTGAAAATAATCCCCCCAAAATACATGTGGTGATTATATTTAGCAAGGCATTCGTACAAAATGGGATACATAACTTTAGGTCTCTCATAGAGAAACCATCCTCTCCAATGGCTTTAGATAAGATATTAGTTACAATTTTGACTGGCCCTGTCTAACAGTTGTAAGCTAAGAGCATCGTTAATGTTTACATTGTTTTTGTAAAAATTGATTAATTCTTAGGAAGCACTGTCTGGTAAATTATCGGTCTGTTGGAAGTAATTGTGTATGTCATTTACATTTTGTAAGTGTTCGGGTTAGTAGAGTGAGTTTTTTTGCATGTTATGTTGAGCTTTTTGGTAGTGTCCCAAAATTCCTTACCTTTCTTTGTTGAGAGTAAGTTAAAGAATGTACTTTTTTCTTGGATAATTGCAAGCTTTGTATAGTTCATCAGTTGTTTATAATATTCAAAATGAGCCTGTGATTTTGATTTTTGAAATTTTTTATGAGCTTTATCTCTTAGTCTGATTAAAATTCTTATATTTTGAGTTATCCAGGGTATATAAGGTTTTTCGGTTATTTGTTATTTTTTATCGGAGCATGTTTATTCAGAACAGTTACTATATTTTTATTAAAGAATAACACCTTGATGTGAGTCCTAGCGCAACGCTACCCACCACGATGAGATACTGCCATTCACTTCCAAGGTGGGATGCATGGCCAACGACTGAGAGGTTTTAATGAGTATATTTAGGAGAATCTCACACTTCGGGCAGGAAAGGCTGCCAGAGGGCATATGTACAGGTTTTCTGTCCAAGAGTAGCTATGAAAGCTTCCCCTTATCAAAAAAGCAGCATATCGCCAAAAGATAGGAAACAGATTTGGCTGAAGACTGGTCCATTTCCGTTCCAGGAGGAAGCAAGGTAGTTAGCGTTTCTAAACTGTGTTTCAATTATGCTGGGATCAAAAGCTGTTTATCAATATTTGTCGATTAGTGAAATACTCAAGACGGTTAGCTATATGACGAGCTAAACCTAATATTTACTATTTCTTACTGTTGTCCAGGTTGTTCTCATGGTCAAAAGCGCTCTGCCATCGTGATGCCAAACTGTTTATTACTGTATTATTTTCTCGAAGGACTATCCCTTTGGATGTCGAAGTAATATGTCCCGCGTTTCAGATCCAAAACAACGCACTTGCAACATTTGAGTCAAAGTTTGCATAACAATTCACAGGTGTGTTACGATAGTAGTTCTGGATAGGTTTCACGTTTTTCGGGAGGCTTTTTTCGTTTCCGGGACGACGAACGAGGTTGACCTATCTCGTACATTAAAAAACGACAGAAAGCGTCATGCTCGCTTGTCGTTTTGGAGGGTTGGATGTCCTTTTTTGGGGGGCTGAGAAAGCATCTTAAAATTCGGAACGATCTTAGTATGTTACGGGACCCTTGTACTATTGTACTCACTGAATACGAATATCATAATGAAAAGAAAAAACAAACAAACTGTCACATGGATAAATGAAATATATGTCAATGTACTGTAGAAGATTATCTTTGGGATTGTCGCTTGTGTTTTTCCAATATTAAAACACTTGGATTATTTCCTTACACTTAACTACTCCTTATTGTGAACTTCAACAATCTCAATTTTTTGTTTAAGCATCAGGATTTTTCTATTTGAATGTGTCGCCCACTGTGTCTTTTCCGCATAGACGTCAGACTAGATGGACATTTTATGGAAAGCGTGTAAACGAAGAATAAGAACGATAAATCCCCGACTAACAAGGGAAAGTCCCTAATTCACGCAGAAATGCACCGCATAGGCTGCATTTGTACCGAAAGATTAAAGTTGGTGAGACCCCGGTTTACTCTCGAATGTCTACTCTAAACAGAAAAAAAAGACAAGGAGTTGCTTTATATTGGGTGGGCCATTTAAAAGTTTCGATTTAAAAATAAAATAAAACAAAAACGGTTTGAGATATTGCCAAATTTATTTTTTTGTTTTGAAGTACAATTGTTCCGCTCAGAAATGAAATATTACTTCATTCAAATGGCTGCCGCGGCTGGCCTCACAGTAGCCCATTCGATCGGACCAATTTTCGAGCACTTTTTCGAGTGTTTGGGGCCGTATCTCGTCAATGGCATCACGAATGTTGGCCTTCAAATGGTCAATTGTCTCTGGATGGTCGACATAACACTTGTCTTTAACAGCGCCCCACAGGAAATAGTCCAATGGTGTCAAATCGCAGCTTCTTGGCGGCCAATTGACATCACCATTTCGACTGATTAAACGGCCATCGAAGGTTTCGCGCAATAAGTTGATTGTGGCATGCGATGTGTGACAAGTTGCACCATCCTGCTGAAACCAAACATTCTCCACATCAATACCATCAAGAGCAGGAACAAAAAAATCAGTTATCATGGTGCGATAGGTGTTTCCATTGACAGAAACGGTTGCGCCGTCCCCGTCTTCAAAGAAATATGGGCCAATGATGCCTCCGCTCCACAATCCACACCAAACAGTCACTCGCAAGGGATGCATTGGCTTCTCAAGACCTCGTGTGGGTTTTCCGAGCCCCAGATACGGCAATTTTGCTTATTGACGTAGCCACCAATATGAAAATGAGCTTCGTCTGAAAAGATTATTTTTTTCGCAAAATCGACATCATTGATTAGTTGCTCGTTGGCCCATGTAGCGAAGGCAGAACGAAGTGGATGGTCACGCGGCTTCAACTCTTGAACCAATTGAACTTTGTAAGGCGCCATACCGAGATCTTTCCGCAAAATTCGTCGTAAACTGGTGCGGGAAATGTTCAATTCTTGGGAACGATGACGTGTTGACGTTGATGGATTTTCACGCACACTCGCAGCCACAGCATCGATACCTTCGGGTGTACGCACTGTACGAGCACGCTGACGTGTTGGAGCATCAACAATGAAACCAGTTTCACGCACTTTATTAATAAACTTGCGTATACCGGGCGCTGTTGGTGCTTCGTTGCGACCGAATTTTGAACGGCATTTTCGTGCAATTTCTGCCCAATTATCTTTGTTTTGGAAATAAATTTCCAATATTACCCAACGTTGCTCAAGCGTAAATCGATTCATTTCGTTCAGCGTAGATAATATACTGAATTTTATGACAAATCAGATTGACATAAGTATTGTCAGCGTCAAATTAACACGTGGTTCAAATCGAAACCGATAGATGGCCCACCCGTTATTATGTTTTTTGTCCGGTTAGGAGAACATTTTCTCGTGTCCGCGTCCGTTCAAAAGAATGTCCCTCCAAGAGAGAGTTAATACAATGCAAATTATGAGAGTCGGTCGGGACCATGAGAAACTGTCCGTGTTGTGCTTACAGTAAAGAAGATTCGGTCAATACGTGTGGTGTTATTAGCCAGACAAGAATGGGGGATTATTTCTCGCGTGTTTTCAAATATTCGTAATATAAGGCTTAGTTGTCAAACTGAAGTAATCAAGTCATCAGGATACATTATTATTTTTCCAGGTGTTTTCTGTTACCATTATTTACCTAGGGTGAGAAAAGCTACTTCTCAGTGTGACACTACGGTCAGCAATGGTGATCTCTCCGGTTTGTAGTGAATGTTATTAACTTATATTTAGTGAAAATTCAAACGACTGAACTATTAAAATCACACCTTGCGATTATGAACTTCTTTAGGAGGTTTCTTAGCAACCCAAAGCTATTTTTCCCTAAAACAACGCGGTTTCCCAGAAAGCCTTTTGCGCTAACTACCCGCCATTCTCCCCGTTGAGGCAACGTGATCCGTACAGCTTCAATCGTTCTGCGGAGCTTGGCACCGTTAACTGACTTTATTAAATATGTAACAATCCAGCTCCTGTAAATTAAAAAGTTGTACGTTAAAATGCAAATGCCGTGAACCTTCCGAGCGCATTCAATTTGGGGAATATTTTAGTCTCGTTGGAATATATTATGAAATGCTTTTAATATTCATTATGTTAACTGCATTAAGGTTGGAAAGTCTGTAATTTTGATTTTTAATGTACCGGAGATTTTTCATTTGATTGAGATCCGCTCGGAGATGCCGGCCGGTGAGGATCTCGCTCTGAACCGGGCCGATAAAATCTGTGAAATTTGTGGCGATGAAATACGTAGGTCGGGTGGCATTACGTGTGATGCAGAAAATTGCAGTATATCTCTTCATACAAAATGTTTTGAGAATATCGCCAAGTTATTCTTCACCGAAAGGAAAAATTGGAGGTGCGAAGTCTCTACCATAAAGTGCCAGTCGACGCCTAATACTCCAGCGACTGACGTTATAGTGCTTCATCATGAAGTAGAATGTCTCAATGGTGAGAAAGAGTTACTAGTGAACCTTAACAGTGAATTAAAATGCAACAATGAGCTCCTCAAGGAAAAATTATCATTTACCAGCAGTGAATCATCATCCTACGCTGAAAAAACCCGGGGACCACTTATTAACCAGGCAAACACAGGTGTTGTTTCTTGTAGCACAACCAAAAAAGTCATAATAAACACATACAATCAGCTAGGATTAGTGTTAAATCGAACAATAACTCGAAATCTAATACTGACGTGCTGAATGATATTAAAAATAATATTAACCCCAAGGATCTTCAACTGGTGTAGTTATTTGCTGCGATGATGACAAATCGTTGGGAAAACTAAAGGAACATGTTTATAACAAATTAGGAAGGAAATATGAATTTAGTAATACTGAGCTGTATAATGCCCGTATTATGATTAAAAATATTCAGATTCCTGAAAACTCCAGTGTCGCTGACATTACTGACAATATTTCATCTATTAACGACCTTCAAGATCTACAAAATCGTGAAATTAAATTTGTAACGAAATTAAAGTACCCCAACGCTATACATTTGGTACTTGAGGTGTCATCTGAGGTGAGAAGTCTCTTCATGTCACGTGAATATGTATATGAGGGATGTCTTTTAAGTTTTGCATATAGAGACATAGTAGGCTGCGCGGATCGAACGTCAGTACTGAATCTGAACCGCACTCTTTAGTAAACTTAAATTCACAGTTTCACAACAATACAGTGTTCTACAGTAAATTTTTAAGTGTCACCAAGTCATTAGAAAAATGGAACACAACCGAGAAAATTTTCGCGCCATAATTTATTACAACTTTCAGAGACAATTATCGCAACAAGAATGCCTTGCTGAGTTAGGGTCTGTTTTCGGCAACGAAGTGCCACATCAGTCGACAATTTCCCGTTGGTATGGAGAATTCAAACGTGGACAGGTGAGTCTTTGCGACGATCCCAGGGTGGGTGCACCAAAAACGGCAGTCACCCAGGAAAACGTCGATGCTGTGCGCAAACTCATCATTGAAGATAGACATGTGACGTATCGCGAGATTGAGGCGTCCTTGAAGATCTCGAAGACCTCAATTCAAAAAATTTTACATGAAGGATTAGGAGTAAGAAAATTAGTTTTTCGTTGGATACCTCATCAGTTGACTGAAGAGCAGAAAGCAGCCAAGGTTAATTGGTGTCAAAAAACGCTTGACCGTTTCAATTCCGGAAACTCAGAAAATGTGTACAGCATTGTTAGTGGTGACGAATCGTGGATTTACTATTATGAACCAGAAAATAAACGACAGTCGGCTGTTTGAGTGTTCCAAGGTGAAGAAAAGCCAACAAAAGTCATCCGTTCTCGAAGTGTTTCGAAAAAGATGGTCGCGAAATTTGTGTCAAAAGCGGGTCATATTGCAACAATTTCTCTTAAAGAGCAAAGAACAGTTACTGCGGATTGGTATACCACTATTTGTTTGCCAAAAGTCATCACCGAGCTTCGAAAAATCAACCCACAGCCCAAAAAACAAGGCAGTAGTTAACGAGAAGAAGACGTGGAATTATTGGACCATCCTCCATATAGTCCCGATCTAAGTCCTAACGATTTATTTACTTTCCCGAAAATTAAAAACAGACTGCGTGGTAAAAGGTTCCAGTCACCAGGAGAAGCAGTTGACGTATTCAAAACTGCCGTTTTGGATCTGCCAGCAAACGAGTGGAATAAGTGCTTCGAAAATTGGTTCGAGCGAATGCAGATGTGTATTAATCTTGGTGGAAAATCCTTCGAAAAACAATAAAGTCATTTAAAGCTACCTACCGTGTTGTTTTATTTCCATATGCAAAACTTAAAAGACATCTCTCGTATGTCGGATTCAGCAAATGCTTCGTTGCAGACCATATTAGGGTGGTGCGATGTTTCAGGTGCAATGCGATAGGTCATCTTGAAAAAACTGTAAGTCGTCCATTGTGTGCTCTTCATGCAGCGGTGAACATCGATATAAAGAATGCTTGTCCGAACTCCTTAAGTGCATTAATTGTGTTAAAAGTAACGAAAAATATAAAACTATATAAATGATGTTTGCCATTCGTCGAATGACGAAGGTTCGTGCTTGGTGTTACAACATTACATAAATAATCTTAAATCTAAAATCAGTTATGGAACATAAAATATATTAGAATAGCTCACATAAATGTAAGGTCGTTACTTTCCAATTTTGCCGATCATGTACAGTTAGTTAGAAACTGTCAATATTCCTGGCTTCAGCTTTTGTAGAAATGATAGGCCATCCCGTGGAGGAGGTGTCGGTATTTAACGTATATTAGAAGCAACATCAAGTACGAAGTACTTGCTTGGAGCATATGTTCATTAAAATTGGTCACTGTAGTTACTGCGTGGGTGTAATGTATGGACCTCCCAGTGAAAATGTTTTGAATGCTATCGAATGTCTCGATAATTTGCTACCTGTCCTAGTAACTGAATACGACAACTTAATCATGTTAGGTGATCTAAACGTTAACTTATTGATAAAAAATAACAAAATCAGTGAATGTTTTCAGTTATATGGTTTTACACAAATTATCGAAGATCCCACTCGTATTACTGAGACAAGTAGCACTCTCTTGGATCCCATATTTCTGTCTGATGTTGAGGTTTGCGGTGAAAAGGGTACCATCAACGCTGATATCATTAGTGGCCATCAAATGGTTTTCCGTGACCTACTTTGTAGTTTTCATAAAGAGCATAAGTATGTCTTTCAGAGACTATAAACACTTCAACTTAGATAACTTCAACAGAGAATTACATCAAATGAACTGGGAACAGGTCTTATACATACTTTAGTGAAGTTGAAACCAAATTGAAATTTTTGACTGAGAACATCAATGCCATATTTGATTTACATTGCCCAATTCGGACAGTGCGTATCACTAGACCTAAAGCGAAACGATTGACTGCCAAATTGAAGTTCATTTTCAAGGAAATATATAGAGCGCTGTCTAAATTTAAAACCAATCTAGTCTAGTCTATTCAAAACTGGAATAATTACAAATCAATTGGAGCATTTACAAAATCAGAGAAATCCCTCTTTTTTATACAAATCTTTAAAAAACATGCGCGTTCAAGCAATTAAATCTTCTGAAATCCAATCAACACTCACACAGCCTTACAAAGTCAATGAATACTTACCTCAGTTTCTAAAAACAGTGATGAAGTGTGCTTTGAAAAAATACTTTACTACAGAACAAATGACCTTTTGCAGAGAAATTCATTTTCTTTTAAGCTAGTTAATTTAGATGTGATTAAAACTGTTATCTGCAGTATAAAATCCCATGCTTCTAGAACGGATGGTATTACGTTACAAATGTTAAAGTTCTGCTTGCCAGTAATTGGGATTTATCTGCTACATGTTATGAATATTTGCTCCCGACCTTTGGAAGACATCTCTGGTGACTCCTCCGCCAAAGTTATCTAATCCGGTATCCATCGCTGACCTCAGACCAATAAGCATATTCCCACTAATATCTAAAATTTTAGAACGAGTAACTTATACACAGATTTTAGATCCTCTCAATGCACATAATATAATCCTCACCCATCAATCAGGCTTTCAGAAAAACTACAGTACAACTACAGCCTTGTCTTATCTCATTGATAGCATCATATCTTCCATCTGCTGGGCCTGTTAGTCTTTTCCAAGGCTTTCGATACCCTCAACCATCGACTACTTATTGCCAAGTGCCACTACTATAATAATAATAATATTTATTTACTCAATGTACAAAGATAACAAACAATATGAGTAAATAAATATAAAATCAAAACAGGCCCAATAGAAGGCATCGCCTGTACATGGACCAATAATTTAAGTTGAAACTGTAGAATGCAAATGACAAAAAAGGACAAAAATTAGCTACAGTAGATTATGTATTTAGTTGATGTTCGTATTTATGAGTTTATGAATTTCAGTCCTAGATATAGAATGTAGCCACTTTTTTAAATTTCTTTTGAAACAATTTCCGAAACGTAAATCTTTTAAGTCTTTAGGTATAATTTCATAAAATTTAGGCGCTAAATAGAGATATGACCGCTGCATTATAGATTTATGCGGTTGAGGAACTACTGTGCCACGAATTTTGTATCTGGTATAATGATTATGTTTAATTTTTTGGTCGGTGTTTACAAATTTATGGTAGTGAGTGATACTGTGTAAGAAATAAAGCTGTCTTATATCATACATTCGAACATCTGCATATAATTTTTCAGTGGGATAAAGTTTCGGTTTTTTAAGTATTATTTTTAGAATACTTTTTTGAAAAACATCTAAATTATAGATATGTGAGGAACATGCAGCTCCCCATGCTAATATACCATATGTGAGATGAAGTTGCCTGCAACTTTATTACGTCATATTTAAGGGAACGGACGCAAAACGTAAATATCAGTAATAAAATGTTGATATCAAAGTACATTCAGTCAGGTGTTCCACAAGGCTCAGTACTGGGACCATTGATGTTTTTATTTTACACTGCAGATTTACATGATAACTTCAAGAATACACATGCTCAATTTTTTGCTGATGATACGCAGATGAAGTATGATTTTAATGCCGACAATGGCCAGGATGCAGCTATCACAACTAGAGACTAAATCCCTCAAAATGTTCTGCCATATTATTTGGCAATAAAAGATTATGTGAAAACCTTAAACCATTAATTCACATTAAAGTTAATGGGAAGGAAATTATTTTTTCTGGAATAGTAAAAAATGTTGCATTCACTTTGACTAGAACTAACGGTTTAACACCCATCTGAACAATGTCTTGAAAAATTGTTATCTATCCCTCAGGCTTCTATTTGCAAACAAACATATTCTGCATAGAAACACCAAAATTAAATTGTGTCAAAGTTTAGTTATTTCTAAAATGTTACATGGCTTAGTTGAGTCATTAATTTTCAGATAATGATTGTAGAAGGAAGATAAACCAAAATATGTGTGTAAAAATAAAAAAAAAATTAAAAAAAAATGTTACCTTGTTTTATAAAGTATCCTCCCGACAAGTATTTGAGTGCGGACCTGTATTTGATCGTGCGGTCTTGGAGCACCGGCATGTCACCTGATTCACGAGCCCTTTGTACTGCATTAACAAAGGCACGAGGGGT